TAGAGTGTATTGAGACGGTTCCCATTCGACTTACTTAACTTTTTTTCCAGTTAAGAGCCCATTTTCCGATCTCGATCCGGTTTTTTATTAGCTCCCACGCTTTTTGCGTTAGCAGATTTTTCCAGTCTTTGATGCAGAAACAAACAAGGGCAACACACGTATATTTTAGGTTAAATGCGTTGGCTCACCCCTCATGCCCCGGAGTCTGTAGACCTGGACGATACGTAGCTCTCAGTTCCTGAACCAGGTTCCATCACGACAAATCCCAGGCCCGGTTGTCCTCACTGTCTTGTCACTGAGACATGCGTTTGCCACGAACATCTTTCATACAACAATCCGCTTCGCGCCGTCTTATTTCCCATATTTTCATTGGCGACATCGACTGATCAGATGCTTGTGTATTTATCTTTTATCCACCGAATTCAGCGAAAGTTGAGATTCCGTCTATTTACAGCTTGCATAGAGCGCTCGTTGGTTAGACCTTTGTGCAAATGTGTATGTATATTTCGTGGCTGAGGTTTCGGATTTCGTCGCAGATCCGACCTCAGAGACCATAGCAGAAATGGAAAATTCATACACAGGGTAGAGTTGCTATGTTACTGCATACCCATGACAATTAACGGCTGCCCCTACATCGAGGATAGTTGTCCACTTCTGTGCTTATTGCCAATACAAGCGAACATGCGAGTCCCAGGAAGTAATTGAGAAGAAGACGGCTCGATCGCTAGGAGAATACGTTTATTCACCTGACGTTTCTGCTACTGTTTCCTGCATATGTCTCTGATGATGAATCCGCGACGGATTTCGAAACGTCAGGCGAATAAACGTATTGTTCGAGCGATCGAGTTGTCTTCTTCTCAATTACTTCCTGGGACTCGGTGTTAATTGTTTGATGGCCGGCCCGCGGGTCATAACCTACTGAACTTTCATCACTCGTGATGGACTCGGGCGTGATAATTGCTCGGCCAGCTGGCGTTGGCGTCAGAGGACGCGTTTGCCCGTGTTTCACGTATTCTAGCCTTGGTGTCAAGCTTTTTCTTAAATCTACTTCGGACCGCCCGAGTAGTCTTCAGACTCTTAAGTTGCCTAACGGGGAAGCGCAGTGTGATTTGCGTGACTTTGGTTTGCAAGTAGTCTTTTTTTCGATTCTTAACTGGTGATCACTTGGATCCGGTAGATTGGGGGCTTCTCTGCGTTCCCAGTTGCCCATGCTTATGTCGCAACAATGTTGCATGCTTTTAAAGGAACCACGTTTTCAGGGCGGCACATTCGCTTCCATCTTTCTAACTGATGCTTCCGCAGGGTTGGGTTTTTCTTTTGGGTCTTAAAGTGTGTTGGTGCCTATTTTGGTCTTCTTTTTCTCAGCTTGGCTTCTATGAATCCTCTCCTCTCGAAATCTGCCAATTCTATCCCCTCTGCTTTTCCTGTGTATTTAACTCACTTCCCATTCCTTCCTGTTTGGTTAGTTCTTGTCGCCACCAGTTGGATACGTTGAGTGGACAGTCTTCTGTTGTCTGGTATGTTGAAAGTTCACCGCGCGTGGGCGTGCGGTCTTTCAATGGACTGTTTCGCTGTCGCCGAATATTCTTGCTGGTATCATTGGTATCCTCCTTTTGCTTCGTGCAGCACTAGTGACACGCTCTGGACCAGTGCTAAAGGCGCCAATGGGTCGGCAGGATCGGGCTTATGGACGGTTGCTAGCATTGACCTGGTGCGACGCGCTGGTGCTGATGGCGATTTCAAGGTTCGTCCCTCGCCTCATGCTCACTCTACTAAGCTAACTTCACTACGTACGAGGCTCTAGGAGTTGAATTAGCTGTGACCTTCTGATAGCTAAGATCACATTAAATCGGTCCGAAGAGTGCGCTTGGTTTTCCATTTCCAGGGCTTTTCTATTCACGAGCGCCTGACTCTAGGGGGCGATAGAGGCTCCGCGAGTCTTGAGCGGGTTTGTGGTTATAAATGCGCAGGAGAAAAGTGTGTTGTCTAGCAGATGGCAGGAGACGCGACTTCTTGGCCTTAGAGACAAAATGGCAATGCATTAGAGGAGTTAGCATAAGTGTTCAACTCCCCCCCCTTAATCTTCTTTATGCAGTTTAATTGCCGTATACGACAACGTCCTCCGCTGTCTTGCCCTCTGCGACAGGGACTTGGTCGCAAATTTGTTGATAGCGAAACTGACTTGCAAAGCATCTACCTCACGTTCGCCTCCCTTACCCACCATGTTCTGATGAAGAAGTAAAGTCAAGGCGACCAAAGCTGGGCGT